GGTTTAGCGTTCAGGGCTTGGGGCTTAGGGTTCTATGAGACTAAACCCTAAACCCTAAACCCTAAACCCGAAACCCTAAACTCTAAACCCTAAACCCTAAACCCGAAACCCTAAACCCGAAACCCTAAACCCTAAACCCTAAACCGGAAATTAATGTAGGGCTTGGGAATCAAGAGTGAACTCAAAGGCCTGCCTCAGGCGGCCGAAGGCAGGATCACTGATGGATGCCCAAAGCCATGCGTGTAATGTAGGGGCCTCAATATATGATCTGGGTTTAGGGTTTAGGATTCAGGGTCTACCCAATAATCTAAGGGCCTTGATAATATTACCTACACTATTTTGGGGGCTCCTTACTATAAGTATAGTATCATATACCGCCCCCAAACCCTATTTTAATTATTAAGGCCCCTATATTGTGACTGAGTTGGCATAGCACAGCCTGCTCGGATTCTGCAGCCGGAGTATTTTGAGCCGGGCCGCCCGTGTCGAAGGGATTTTTTGAGTCAGGGCCGACAGCTGAAGGCGCGGTACGTGCAACCGTAGTCCGATGAGCTGGAGGGCGGAGAGATTGGCCAGACGCAGCATGTTGCTGTGCAACTGTAGCCCGCCCGGTGACCGGAGTCCTATCTCTGCCCGGAACGTCAGCTGATGCCCCGTCATTTCTTCCGCCAGAGGGCAGTGTGCCTGGAAGCGGCACAGGGCGCCCTGTGAGCTGATGTTGTCCCGTAGCTCCGCAAGTAGCGCCTCGAGGTCGTCCTGTGCGCATGGGCTGTGGGACAAGCTCTGGGTTCTGGGCTTATAGGGTTGAGGGTTTAGGGCTCAGGGCTGCCATGAATAACAGGAGTCTTTACTACTTAGCGCGTAGGGCGTAGGGTTTGGAAGAGACTCAGGAGTCTGTGCCACTTAAGGTGTAGGGTTTCAAAGAATATCAGGAGTCTTTACTTTACTAGGATGTCAATCGGCTGCTGCATGGGTAGCTCTCTAAATTAGGGTCTCTTTGTAGGTCCCAAACATGGTACGGCACCCTTGTAAAAAGGTTACCCTAAATCCTAATCCCTAAACCCTAAACCCTGATCCCTAAACGCTCAACATGGATGTGGAGAGGCATTGCGTGTTTAAGAAGTTTAGGGCTTCGGGCTTTAAGGCTTTAGGGTTTAGAGCTTTAGGGCTTTAGGCTTTAGGGCTTTGGGGCTTTAGGGTTTTAGGGCTTTGGGGCTTTGGGGGCTTTGGGGGCTTTAGGGGTCCAGGGGGCTTTGGAGGGTCTCGGTGGCACGAGGCTTCGGGTTTAAAGCTTGGCGTTGATGGGGTTTAGGGATCAGGGCTTCTCGGCCCTAGACCCTGAACCCCAAACCCTAAAGCCCTAAAGCCCTAAACCCTAAAACCCTAAACCCTAAAACCCTAAAGCCTAAAAACCCTATTTGGGGTTTAGGGCTTAGGCGGTAGGGTGTAGCACTTTTTACAAGGGTTTGGGTTCATGGTTTCGGGTTTAGGGTTTTAGGGGGTTTGGGTTTAGGGTTTAGGGTTTAGGGCCCAGAGTGGCTACGGTTTAGAGTTAAGGATTTGAGGGCTCGGGACCTTTAGGGCTAACAATTACGGTCTCGGCAGTTTAAGCCCCTTTCATGAGGTTTACCGGCTTGGGGGGTTCATGTTTCTGGGTTTAGGATTGAGGACAGTAGCCAGCAATTGTGTTGCCAAGACTCCTGAGAGCAGCCCCCGGTTTGAAGAACCCCACATCATTCCGACAGTTCCTAGATCTCTACAAGATCGACAGAACACCCCGCATACAAGACTAGTCCTGAGCCCAGCTTGGTAAGGTGGCCAATGGTTCGTTCTCAAGTTCTTAAAACCGTAGACCCTCAACCGGAAATCATCCTCAAGAAGCGGAAACTGTAAACACTCAATCCTAAGCCCTAGCCCAAAACTGATAGGCTCAGGCTTTCCGTAGCCTCCGGTGTTGCGGCTCTTTGGGAAGAAGATCGGGATTCAAAGGCTTGAGGGTGGAAGATTACAGGCCGAGAGTTGACGGCTAGACCGTTGGGGATTTAAGGTACCAGGCTTATAGTAAACCCCCAAAAGATGGAAGCCGGATTAAGGACAAATGGTGCTGGGATTCCCTATACATTACTCTTCGGGGATTGAGGCTATTGGGTTTCCAACTATTCGGCTTCTACAAGAGAGTTCTAGGATTTGTGGTTTAGGGTTTTACGGCTTTAGGACTTCAGGCGTACGTAGGGCTTCAGGATGCAAGGCTTAAGGTTAAAGTCACAAAGTATATGCGATACTTTGTATGGTTTACATCGTAGGTTTTGGGGTTTGTTTTATTGATCAAAATCATGAAGACATGGACGTCAACAGGTTTGGGGTTCCATTAAGTGCTGTCTGGCGTCGTAGGGCACATCGGTCATCAACAGCTGACGTCGAAGCTCTGCCAAGGCCTCACACCCAACTTTCTAGAACTCCATGGGTTAGGGCTTAGCGTTGGCTAGGGATTGGAGTGCAGGCTTTAGGGCTTAGGGTGTGGGATGGTTTGGGGTTCAGGGCTTATGGTTTAGGGCCGTAGTGTTGAACTGCAAACTTGTAGCACTTGGTAGTTAACTTGGCGGTGGGTTCAGGCTTGTCAAAAGGACATGGGAGTTCGGCTTTTTCAAGGGCTATATGGGGTTCTGCAAAGGATTCTGCAAGGGTTTCTTGCTACACGACCCCTGAGTTATAACCCCCTTTTCATAGGGTTTAGGGTTTAGGGATACTAGCCAACTTACTTCCCCGACAAGCCAGAGAAATACAAGGTTAAACTTTCAGATTACTACTAAACTATAAGAACCCAAAAAGTTTAAAGGTTGGGTATTGGGGAACTAAGCCAATACTATCGCTTTTTCAATACAGTGGGATTTCCTGGCCAAGAAATCTACGCTCGCAGCGGCAGCTGCAGGGGTTTCTTGTCTTTGGCTTTGCAGATGACCCGGCCCTTACCGCACAACCCTAAACCCCTAAACCCCTAAACCCCCAAACGCCCAAACCCCTAAACCCCAAAGCCCCAAACCCCTGAACCCCCAAAAGGGCGCTGCTTCAGCATGTTCTCCTCCAGTACACCAGTTTAGGGGGAGGGCTCCGGGCTGTGCAGCTTAGGGCTTACCCATAAGCTCCTTTGTAGGTCCTTTGTGTGCATTACCTGAAAGGATCCTAAATCTAAACCACAAAAAGGAACTACAACGGAGCCTATAGGTATTGCTTCCATGCAAGTTTGCAAAAGAAATCCTGCACAAATCCCAAGCAAATATGCAACACAAACTCCAGTCTGACTGGCAGCACAACACAACTAGGTTAAAAAGGGCAAACAAAGGCCGGTGTCATTTGAACAGGGTGCCTCGTAGTCGAATTCGCTATCCGCCATCTTGCACCGCAGCTGGGCCTCGATTCAGGCTCTGGCTTTCCAAAACCCTAAACCCCTAAACCCCTCCCTAAACCCCTAAACCCTAAACGCACTAAACCCCTAAACCCTAAACCCCCAAACCCCCTAACCCCCTAAACCCTAAAACCCCCCTAAACCCTAAACCCTAAACCTCCTAAACCCTAAACCCTAAAACCTTTAAACCCTACGTAAACCCTAAAACCCTTAAACCCTCAACCGCCGCAAAGGACCCTACAGGGACCCAACAATTCGAGGAGCCCTGAGAGGACTCTCTGCAGATCTCCATACAGGCGCCCTTCTAAACACATCTACGGCTTGATGAGGGCTTAGGCTTCTAGGGCTTGGGGGTTTAGGGTTTAGGCTTAGGGGGTTTAGGGTTTAGGGTTTAGGATTTAGGGTTTAAGGGTTTAGGATTTAGGGTTTAAGGGTTTAGGGTTTAGGGTTTGGGGTTTAGGGTTCCGGGTTGAGGGTGTAGGGTGGACGGAGGGAGTTCTGAATTCCGAGCCCAAACCGCCTCTCGGGTTCAGGGACAGATCTCCCTCGTTGATTCGATGCCAAGGCTTGAGATCCCAAACGTCACAGGCAGTTCGAAAACGACCTCAAATTAGGCTTTAGGGTTTAGGGTTTAGGCTAATAAAGGGGCCTTGAATTTGGGGCCCATCATACTATAATAGGGAACCCCCCGAAATAGTAGTAGAATCTCGGCTTTTCATAGGAAGTGGACAAAGCCTTCTGGAGGTTTCCCACTCGGAACTTCACGCTGTTCGGGGTTTAGGGTGTAGGGTTTAGGGTTTAGGGTTCGGGCTTTTGGGTTGGGGGGCTTTCTGGGCTTTAGGTTTGTGGGACCTGTAAGACTCTATTGAAAACTTTGCAGCCTGGGGGGATCCTAAACTCTGACATGTTTGGGGGGCGCTTAATGCAGGGGCCTTAATAATCAGAACAGGGTTTTGGGGCCCATTATACTATAATCATACTAAGGAACCCCCAAAGTAGTATTGGTAATTATTTAGGTCCCTACATTCGGGTTTACGGTTTAGGGTTTACGGCACGTGATCACAAAAGGCCCAAATTAGCTTTGCACAGGAGGATTTGATCGTTGTGCGGGGATGGTGCAGGACTGGCATATCGGATCACCGTGATCCACTTAAAGCATTGTCGGCGCGTAAATCTAAACCCAAACCTTTAACCACCGCAACATCTAAAAAAAGGCGGGTCGCTGTCTCCGTGAGGGCACAGGTCACATGGAAGGTGCCGGTCTGGGAGATCTTCTTGAGGTCGTAACAAGCCTTGCAGGGTTGAGGGCTTAGCAGGATCCAGCCAGCGACCTCTACCGGCTTACTAGGGGCACTTGGGGTGTCAATGACCCTAAACACTAAACCCTACACTCCCAAACCGTAAACCCCCAAAGTCCTGCAGGGCTTTGTGGCTCATGAGGTTGGGTTTGCACTTGAAAGGCACCGATCCGGAAGGTGCAGGGGGGTGCGGTGCTAGCATCTTTGGCTGTTTAGAGTTTAGGGTTTAGGGAGAGTAACCGTAACTGTCCCGATTGCTCTAAAAGTCGGCGACAAGGTAAGCGAAACAAGACTAAGTAAAGGAGCTCAGGCCCTAAACCCCAAACCCGATGGCTGATCCTAATGCTGGTGCTGGTGCCAGTGCTGGTCCCGGTGCCGGTGATGGTGATGGTCAGGGTGAGGGTGAGGGTTGATAGCAGCAGTAGCAGTAGCAGTAGCAGTAGCAGTAGCAGTAGCAGTAGCAGTAGCAGTAGCAGTAGTAGTAGTAGTAGTAGTAGTAGTAGTAGTGGTAGTGGTAGTGGCAGTCGTAGTAGAAGTAGT